CCCCCCCCCCCCCCCCCCCCCCCCCCCCCCCTTCCCCGTCCCCTCCGCTCCTCCGCATCGCCTCTGCTTTATTTTTTAGGTATAATCACCCAGTACGGTGTAATTGAGTTAAAACAATTACGCCCATAATTTTTTGGATTTCCTAAATGCTTTAGAATTGTAAACACTGCGCGAATTGTATCGGAAAATTCAAACAGTTTAATTTTGTTAAATTTAGCACTTTCACATTGATTTCATTTTCATTTCACTGTTTTTAACTCAAACAGCAATACGGCTTCACGAGGTGCTAGCTGAAGAATGCAGTTCTTCGCACAGTTTAGAGAGGAAATCCCTGTAATCCTCAGATCAGATGCGTCAGCTGCAGGCTTCCAGAAGCCTTCGTTAGTGCTCCTGGAAACTTCTTACTGGTCCTGAAATTAGGCCTATGAGGTTCGAAATGAAGCCTACTGAGAGCCAATCAGGTTATCTTCAAGCTTCCGCTACGCGTAAGCTTAGGTGGTATAAACCAGTGTCAGTTAATCAGGGAAAAATGACCAAAAGGAAGACCTATAACAATTGCGGGAATCAAATACCCACGATTAGCCGTACCTAGGCTTATAGCCAACAACCCATACACGCAGGCAGTTCAGACAGTAATGACAGGACAGCACATCTACGCAAATACATCACAGCACGTTTCAAAACCTGTTGCACAACAGGTGTGCCAAAATCTGTTCCGCAGATTTTGCATAAAATATGCAAAAACGCATAAAAACGAATTGCCTGGATTTTTTGGCAGCGCACCAGATCCCGTAACCCTTTACGAAGTTTGAAAAATTCTGGTTTTAAATTCTGAAAATTTTTCATCCCAAAACTCATCAAAACTCAAGCTACTTTTTCACATTTTGAAATGATTTAAAGCTATCGCAAAAATTTTTGCCTACACTTCACTTTCACACTCCTCATTTTTTTGATCATTTAAAAAATTCTAAAGACCGAGCAGAATAATGGGAAAATATGAGCACTTCTCCAGTGTAACACCTGCTGATAACAATGAAAACTTACCTTCTACTCTCCCCACCGCATCCCCCTCCCCCTGAACTCTCTCCCCACCGCACCCTCCTCTCCCAACCCTTTTCCCACCGCACCTCCCTCCCCTTCCCCCACCGCACCCTCCTCTCCCCTTCCCCCACCGCACCCTCCTCTCCC